AACACACACACACACACACACACACACACACACACACACACACTCACTCAACGGAGCAATATCAATTTACACCAATAGAGGCTCTGGTCCCCACAGGCCTGAGAGGTGACTTCTTTCATCCATGCACCTGCCCATGGAGTAGCTTGATGTAAAACAAAACCTATGGTTTGAAAGCAGCAGAGTGAACCTGGGTTGGGAGGACCACTGGGCACTTACTTGTGAGTTGCAGTTGATCTCAGCGTAGATGGTGTTTCCTACAATTCTGTTCTGTGCATTTCCATTCTGTACAGGGGAAAAACAACAACTGGGTTATCTTAGTCATGGGGGGAAAAAATAAGGGATTTATTTCCTTCCTGTCTCTTCAGTCAGGATCACTGGCTCAACTGCTAAGAGAATAAAATTCAACCACCCTTTGGGGCCAAATCCAAGGTGCAACGAAATCAACAGGAACCATTCCACTGACTTCAATGAGCTCTGAATCAGGTTGCTAGAGGATGATGGACAACAAGCAGCGCTGGGGGACTGTAAAGAAGAAGTCACGCCGAAAAAGCGTGATCAGCTTTATTTAAAAAGCAGATACAAGAGAAGTGGAGGGCGAGACTGTGGTAGAATTAATCTCTTTGGGGTTTCATAAAGCATTGGATACCATCTCTCCTTAAAGCTAAACTCACAAAACTAAGACATACAGCGTGGATAGGCCACAATGGTGCAGACTAAAAACTGACCGGAGGGGACTCAAGTCATGACAACCTTTCCACAGACAAACATGCCCTCCAGACCACAAGGTTCAGTCTGGTCATTCCCTCTAGGAGGGGTAGCTCCATCACCTTCAGCTTGTTTGGAAGGCAGCAGCACATTTGCTTATTTGGTCAGGCCTTCAGTGATCACTAACAAATCTGTGGTCACCCAGAACGTCTCAGTAACAGCAGGGGTAGAGCTCAGAGTCCTCCTGCTAAGAAGTCCCCGTCCCTGAAACCTGAGCTAAAGGGAAATCCCCATTAGCCAATAGCAGCACAGGGCCTATGACAAACTGGTGAGTTCTGATTCCCAGCCAGTAGAGGACAGTGGTGCATATACACAATAGCCAACAGTGTTACCTCTGATTTTTATGTTGCTTTTATACATTAAATATCTGTACTTTTATTAAGAAAAACCCATTGCTCATCTGACATTAGCTCCGCTTATCCAAGAAACAGAAGTGAAACGTAACAAAACAAGAAAGACGAGAGGAATACAGGGAAAGTATTTTAAGACTGCGGCAGCTCCGAAAAGCGAGATGAAATGAGTTCCAGGGGGCAGCAGAGGATCAGAAATCAGAAAGGGAGCAGCTATGCTCTAAACTGGCCAGAAGATGGCAGCAGGTGGTTATAAATTAATCCTGCATGTTGATAGACATTCCATTCACCTCTCTGGAAAATATATTTCTTATTTCAGATCTTACAACAAGCGTATTTCTATAGCACTTCTATCCTGCAGGACTGCAAAGCAATGTTTACACTATACACAGGATTTACTTCCCCCACCCCTGCAAGGCAGCCACCTCTGGGGTGGAGCGCAGCAGCTGCTTAACAGCTACGCAGCAACACAACACAAATATTGGATGGGAAGTAAAGAATGCCTATGGCATTCAAAACTTCAGGGGGAATTTAGTCACCCCGGCTGGATACACAGCCCTGGGGAAATGGCACTGGAGTGGGAATCAGGAGACCCAGGTTTCACAGTCATCTTTGACCCTGAACAAGTCATTTCCCCCACTCTGTGCCTCAATGTCCCCATCCATAAAATGGGGGTAATGATGTTGACCTGACTTCATAAAGTGCTTTGTAATCCACAGGTAAAAGGCAGCAACAGAAGTGCTAAGTTATGCATTGTGACATGATGCTCCATATTCTTTATAGAAATATACTTATGATATGAATATGGCATAATTAAGATATATTTTATGCAAGACGGCACATGTAAGATATCATTGGAAAGGTTATAATTTACTGTATGTGATTATCCAATGTGTATGCATATATCATTTCTGTATCTGGAGTTAGGAATATTAACTATGTAACAATTACAACTATGGTTATACTTGGAGACGCCCACCAGACAATAAGCAATCAGCCTTAATGGGCCATTAGGAAAAAAGACAATGAATCGTCGAAGATGTGGATCCCCATCTTCTGGGAGTTCCTTCCTGTGGACATTGCAAATAAACCTGGTTTCATGGTTGCTTTGACACTGCAAGATCAGGTGATAATGTCACCTGGTAAAAAGTACCATCTTGGACACTGCTGGTACTTTTCCACTGGAAACGAAGGCTTCCCGCCTTACATCAATTCTATTTAAGGCTGGGGAGTAAGGCAAACAGGACTCTTCTCCATTGCCTTCCTGCCCAAGAAGAAAGATTGCTGAAAGTACCTGAAGAGACAAAGGAACTGAGCTGAGGGAAAGGCAAGGGCTGAGTCCAGACTGAGACAGGGGTCCAGCCTGTAAAGAGAAATAACTGGAACTCTAAGCTCCAGGAACTCTGCAACTTGCCTAAAACATTTAGGGTGAGAAATTACTTCTTGAAACCTGTCTTTTTACGATCTTAAGCTTAGTTTGCATGTTTTGTTTTATTTGCTCAGTAATCTGCTTTGTTCCGTTTGCCATCTCTTATAATCACGTACAATGTACCTTTTATAGTTAATAAACTTGTTTTAGTTTATTCCAAAACCCAGTTTGTGCAATTCAAATCTGGGGAGAGGGAAGTTGTGCATATCTTCCTCCACATTGAGGGATGGGGTGAATTGATGAGTTTACATTGTATAGATTTCTCTACAGCGCAAGACAATATTATTTTGGGTGTACTTTCCAGAAGGGCGCTGCACTTGAGTGCTGGGCAATTTCCTAGCTGAGTCTTCCCATAGAGAGCTGTTTGCAGACTGTGATATTCTACAAATAGTGCGTCCCTACCTGTGTGCATGCTGCCAGAGACCAGAGAGCCTAATTCAGCAAAACAGAGAGAGGGAGCCCAGGCTAGTGGAGCAGGCGGGCTCAGTGAAATCCCAGTACATCAGGTGGCATCCCCAGATGGGGGGTCCAACCCGCCACATGTATTATTACATGGGGCTTTCTAGGGCGTTAGTGAAAAAGTCTCTGTTCTTACCTTGTGCTTGTGTTGAGACAGGGACACTCAATGAAAGTAAAAGGTGAGACATTCAAAGCAAATAAAAGGAACTAGTTTTTCAATTAATGCATAATTAGACTGTGGAACTCACTCCCACAGGATGTCATTGAGGCCAAGAAGTGACTAAGAGTCGAAGAGAGATGGGAGACATTTATATGGAGAAAAAGGATATTCAGAGTTATAACAATTAATGCAAACAGAATTTTGGAAGGGATAAAGACCTCACTCTTCAGGGCTTAAACCAATCTCAGATTATTAGGGATGAAAATGAGGCCTTCCTTGATAGCAGGTTATCCCACACCTGCCTAGAGAAGGGTTCTTCCCACTTCCAGAGGCATCTGGTGCTGACCACTACCACAGACGTGATACTGGACCAGAGGGACCTGGGTCTGATCCAGTCTGGCAATCCCCATGTCCCTAGGGACGGTTTTCTAGCTGATCTGGGTGGGAAGGCTGTCAGTGATATCCATTCCTTCTGCCAAAGCACAGTGGCGCTCCATGAGACTCACTATCTGTGAAAGATTTCAGCCTTTGCCATCTTTAAGCTGAGTAAGCTGTAACAATACTGCTCTGGCCTTGCCTACAAAGGGGGACTCACAGCGTTTCTTCTGGGGCAGGCGTCCTCCACTTCCTCGTAGATGGTGATGGGCGGGTCACCGTCTTTGCAGGAGCCTTTGAAGAGGCAGAACAAAGCAACTTGTGTAAGAGACCCCATCGCATCCCAGTCTCACAGGATGAAAGTTACCCCAGACAAAGCTCTCTGCTTAGGATTACAGGGTGTGGGCAGCTTGCCACTAACAGATCACCCTCAGCCCTGATGTTTCCCAGAGCCACCCACCCTGATCCCAGTGATCTTAGCATTTCCTCTAAGACTCTTGGCCTCCTACCCCAGGGTCAGGTTCCAAGCTGCAGTGCAGTAAATCAGGACGAGCATTTAAAAATCAACAGACAAGAGGCAGTTTCAGGGGGTTACTATGGGTTTACAGGGCCAATTTCGCATGTCTTAGTCATAGATTTTCAGTCCAGAATGGAGTCAGAGGACCAGTGTGACCATCTAGCCTGCCCTCCAGCGTAACAGGTGTCAGCAGGGAGGACTGACAGTGTATAGACAGCTCTCCGCCATCCGTATGTGGCCCTCATCTTAGTCACTTTCATGACCTGAAGGTGACGTTCCTCTACCGGACGAGTTTCCTTTTAACCACTTACGTCGCTTCTTCCGATGCTTGCAGAGGAAGATGAGGGTGAGCGTCGTGAGCAGAAGCAGCAGCCCCAGCCCTGCAGCAACAATTGCCCACAGTGGGACTTTCTGAAAAAAGTCTGTAAGAGAGAAAGGTGAAAAGCCGAGTTCTCGTTACATGGCAGAATGCCAGAGCCTTTCCTGACCCTTATTCTGCACCCTACTTTATAACATGTTCATGATGGGTTAGTTAATGCGCAGTAGATGCTTTGGTAAGTGATAGATCAATTGTCACAGAGCCCAACAGACTGCTGCGAAATATTGCCAACTGCTGGTATTCAATAAAATCATGAGTTTGGGTTACAAAATCCATGTTGTTGTTTTTTCTTTTATTTGCCCTCTGGTTTCCAATCCTTTAGAGTTCACTTGGGTCACATTTTCAGGCTTGTTTCCCAAACCTATTGATGGCTAGAAACTTACTTTAAAAAAAAAGAAAGAAAGCAGAGGGTCTCACCTTGTTGTTTGATTCCAGGAGTTGGGGCTGTAATGAAAATACTTAAGGTCATAAGACTTGCAACAACAAAAATCACAAGAGCTTGCAACACTAGCCTATGGCATGTAACCATCTGTACTGTAATACCATTCTACAGATGTGCTCATACACATACTACTCATATTCTTAGCATGCTACTGGCCAAGTGCAGCAGCAAGGCTGTCCAAGCTAATCACCGGGACCCAATTCAGAGACTTTTAGCGAAAAAACAAAACAAAACGCACCAAAATTTTAAAATAAAAAAACAACAAAATAGACTTTTTGACATCAGTCTGTTTACTCACCCAAAATACTCCCTACTATGTCTTACACGGGGCCAGGTTCCTCCAGGTAAGGTGACCTTTCCTCATCAGCCCTATAACTCTCACTCTCTTGCTCAGAGGGAATCAGGAGTTTTATAAAGGGTTTTCCTACCCAGAATCCATTGCAGAGAAAGGAAGTCCCTCTCCTGTTTCTCTGGATGATTGCCAGTTTGTCTGGCCAATCAGCTCTCTTTCCCTCACTTCTAGTTCTATAGGCACATCACCCACTACAATACTTGCAACTAGAGTGGGTCACAAATGTTTTATTGAAAAGGTTTGACAAAAAATGGCATTTTCATTGACACATTTTGAAAACATATATAGATTTCAGTGAAATTTTATCAAAATGCTTCCTTTTTCCTTTCCTGTAAAAACGTGCCATTTTCAGAATGAAATGTTTTGCTTTTCATTCTGAAACAAATTTCTGCTATTTTTAAATTTTGTTCCTAGTTGAAAAGGTCAAATAGGAACACAATGTTCTCATCTGATTGAAATGAAATTCTTTGATCGACCTAAAATGCAACTTTTTAAATTTTAATTTCATTTGGGAGGGAAATTTCAATTTTGTTTTGTTTTGTTCCACGGGGACTTTGTAGGTGCTACCGCAATCATAATTATAGCAAAGAAACACTTCCTGAAGAGCTTATAATCAAGAGGAATAATGGCAGGTCTGGCACCATTGGTTTTCCTGAGGTCTCCCATCCTACTACTGAACCAGCTCAACCCTCCTATAGCAGGGACTGGGAGCACTGACATCTGAAATTGCAGGTGTAACCCCACCTATCCTTTTACTGGGATGAGCTATTTGAATCCTAGAATCCCAGCAATGTTGGGCTGGAAGTCACCTCGAGAGGTTAGAAAGTCCAGCACCCTGCGCTGAGGCAGGACCAAATAAATCCAGACCAGCCTGTTCTGAAAAACCTCCAGTGATGAGGATTCCACAGTCTCCCTTGGAAACCTATGCCAGAGCTCAACAACCTTTAGAGCTAGAAAGTTTCTCCTAACAACTAGCCTAAATCTCGCTTTCTGCAGATTAAGCCCATAGCTTCTTGTCCTACCATCAGTGGACACAACGCTCTTTATAACAGCCCTTCACATATTTAAAGACTGCTGTCAGGTCCCCCTCCCCCTACAATCTTTTCTCAAGAGTAGACATGCCCAGACCTTTTCTC